CCCCCCCACAGCTGGGCCGTATAACCCTTGCCCTGCCGTTCGGCAGCTTGCATGTCCTTGGCCAAGTTTGCCTGGGCTTGGATGGCCTTGCCAGCTTCGGCAACCATAGCTCTGCCGTCTTCATAGGCCTTTTTCGCCTTCTCAGCGGCATTAATGGCTCGCTTAACGCAGAGCCACATGTCTATCGATGCCTGCATAGCAAATGAAAGCGTTAGAAGGAGACAGAAATGAACGGCAGGGAAACGCTAAAAGCAGTGGGCACTTACCGAGGCTTGGAGACGGAAGGCGCGGCCAGCCTCCTCCTGAAGTAGCTTCTTCGGCAGGTCTTCGATCTCGGACAGCTCCATTTGTGAACCGAGGATCATATGGTTCACAAACTGCACCATCTTCGAAGGACAGGCCAGAGTAACAGCTTCCGAAGAACCCTCATCGTCCTCGGCAGAGAAGATGGCCCGGGCAGGCTCAGTTTGTCGACCGCGTTTCGGAGCGGGGTCGGCATCGAGGTCCACCGTAAACGGCCTCTTGCCTGCAGCTTTAGAGGAGTTGCCCTCCGTAGGCGGAACTCGGTCGGGGGACGGGCCAGCTTCGGCAGCTTCGGTGCGCGCCGACTCGGCATGCATCTGGCGACGGCGCTCGTTGAGTGTCACGTCGTCGGGGTCCACGCCACCTGAAGGCGCCGGTGCCGTTCCGGTCTTCTTCTTCTTCCCCTGCATGCCGAGCATGAGGCGTCTCTTCGAGGACTCATTCATCCTCTTTGCCTCGGCAGCCTTCCTCTCTTCGGTCACTGCAAAAAGGAGTCGATCAGATTCGTCGATGTACATTTTGAGCTGTCAAAAAAAGGGAAGTGTACTTACTCTCGGCAGGGTTGACAAGTTGGGCCTTGATGAGATTGGCGGTGAAGAGAAACTTTGGATACACCCTCTCAACGGCAGGGACCTTTAGCCTAACCCTTTCAATCTGCCAGATCTCCGCCTGTGTGGCGCTCGGCTGCTTCAACTTGCCTGCACAAAACCAAACGGGATCAGCATTAAAAGAAGTAAAGCAAGACCTGAAAGACCTACCGAACGGTAGAATAGCCTACCGGCCATTTGGAACGTAGTCGGAATGTGGAAACGGACGGGAGGTCCCGAGGGCGACTCCCCGTCACCGGACAAAAGCACCCGTCGTTTCCTCCTCGGCTCTTGTGCGTGTCGG